AAATCTCTGAAGAACTCGACACAAAAAGGAATCGGTGGCAATTTTCAAGCCCTTTAGCCAGTGTGCGATAGGCCGGTTCCCGTCGGGTTTCATGCCAGGGATATAAATACAATCCTTCTACTTACCTGTGCTCTTCAGGCCTATCAATTATGCTGCACCCTCCGAGTTGCTGCTGCAACTTTAGGTATTACTGTCCTCTGTAAAACCATCGTAGAATGTGGTATGTGACTACTTACCACAAGCTACAGACCCCGATCTTCAAGTACCAGAGCACCTGCAGCCTCTGTCAATGTTATTTTTCAGGCTAGAAAACCCAATTTTAGCTAGGATCAAGGGAGAGGGCTCACAAAAACTTGGTGTTAATGAATGCTGAAGAATAGGAGCCTTCTTTTTCTGCAAACCTTTGCCTGTTTGGCTAATGCCATTTCAGCCTGCATGTTTTGTCTGTGTTTTGTTATTTTACCCTTTTGTGGAACTTTCTCTTTAATTTTTAATCTCTCAGGTTATTTTGATGTAAGTACTCTGGTTTTTGGAGAGTTTACAAACAAAGATCCCTGATGCTTTTTTTTTTTTAACCAAAAAAGCCTTTCTAAAAGTGCTTTGCTCACACCTAAGGAGTCCAATCCCCCTCTTCACACTTGTACAAACACACGTCTGTTCTACTGACTCTTCATTAGTATGTTTGGAGTCTGAAAGATTACAAGCTCTCTTAACTAGCTATTAATACCCATCTTTTTATATTTTCATTATTATGCTTATAATTACGTTGATGCTGCTCTTAATGAGCCCTTGAATGACATTTTATAAGGATGATGAAATCTTCTACATGGAAGTATTTGCTCATGACAAATCTCTGGAGAACATCTGCTCTGATGCTGTCCAATTGTTTCTATGCTGCACGCTGTATTTCTGCAATGGGACAGTTTAGAGGGAGCAACTTATATGCAATTTATAGCAGAGATAATTCAATAGATGATCAGAGTGCTAATTAATTTAATCTGTGGGAAGAATGATCAATATGTGGGGAAAAAAAACAGTGCAGGAGTAACTGAATGTGGACTTGGAAGTTAATATCCTAGGGGTCTTGTACTGATGTTTGAGGTTATTATGGCACTTAGAGATGCTAGCTGCAGGGAAAATGTCCATGTAGCAAATGGAAATCCAACATGACCTGGAAATAACCAGCTAAATGCAGCATTATGAGGAAACCCACCGTTCTCAGCAGATGTCAGACCTGTCGTTGTAAAGTGCTGGAAAATATTGGCATGTCCTAATAGGCAGAAAATGGGACCTCTTCCAGTGGAACCTTGCCAGCAGAGCTTTCTTTACTCAGGGGATGAGTTTGAGTATGGTGGTGAGAGTGTAAAGATGGACTTGACTTTCAGGGCAGGGATGTGGAGGAGACAGTGAGGGTCTTGGACTCTCCAGGTGGTGTGAACTCAGTGCCCATGTGCAATCAGCACTGTCCATATGGCAGTGGAGAAAGAAACAGGTTAATGGGGAGGGACCACGTTTAGTACACAGGCAGCTACATTAGTGATCAGTTTCCAGATGGTTTAAGAGTTATTAAACTAAAATTACATTTAAAAAAATCCATAATTTATTAAACAATTAGAACAATTATTTTACTTTAATTATCCTAGAAGCTTAAATACTGATGATAAAATACACATTAGAAGACCCAAGATCTCTGAGCCAAATGCAGGGGCTGCAGTGGAATCCCACCTATTGCTTGGCCACATGTCTGAAAGTGGGGGACAATGGGGTCCCCAGGCTGCAAACAGGAGCAGACCAGGGGAAAGTCTTCACCATAATTCTGTATCTCCTGTCAGGGTTGGTCCTTGCTTGGCCACCTTACACTTACTGATCCCCAGTTTCTGCTGCAGGGTGGTGAACCTTCGAATTTGCCAAACCACTAAATCCAAAATTGCAAAAAGTTGACATCCTGAAAGGAGCTGAAGGAAATGCAGCAGGATTTGTTACTGCTTTGAAAATTAATTGTGAAATAGGAAGGGCTGATTTCAGTGGAATGTAACATGAGATTGAAAGTCCAACCTGTCCCATCAGTGCACTAACCATCCAGAAGACACTGTTGGCAAATAATCTGCCCTTCCCAAACTGTTTTTGAAAAGAAAAGGTTATATAGATGTTGTTCATTGCTCTCATTTTTCAATATATATAAAAAAAAAGGATTTTCAGGAAACAAGGATTCAAAAAGGCAGATGAGCTACAGGGTGGTTATGATCACAGTAACACTTCTGTCAACAGCTACCTGCAGCTATAACCCAACCATGAAAGTGGTAAAATAATTATAGAATCTCAAGAAATCATACAGGCTGACAACCCAGAATGAGGAAGGCTTTGGGGGGATGATAGGCTGTGAAATCAGAGGGGAATTCTGAAGTTTACACAGTTTGATGCACCCTAAGGACAGAATTACAATGATTTTTCTACTGTGGAAAAAGTCATCTGGCCAGAAGCAGAAAAGTAATGGAGAGGAGGATTTGAAACAGTGAATTGAAAATGCTGTTGGCCACAAAATGCTTTTAATCTTTGAAAGTATTGAAGTAGTTAAAGACAGAATATCTGTTTTAACCATCATTTGCAGATAGGATCCATAATGGACTTATCACCAGAACAAGCTGTACAGACACTTTCACTGCAACTCACCATACGTGGTCTTCCCAAAGTGTGAGAATTTATGTAACTTGCATGTTCAGCTCTAACAAGCAAAATGTGAAGGACATCCCCGAAGTCATGTTGTCCTGGCTGCAGTTCACATTAGCAGGAATTTCTTCTCCTGTTTTTCTTGTTGTTCATCCGACCTGATCTGTTACTTTTTAGGTTCTGGAGTATTCACCATAATCCACTCAGGCTGCCCCATGTGGCTGAGTTGTGGCTTGTTCTGGGATCTCTGCTGGATTTCAGGATCTTGGAGCAGCATCCTTGAGCTGTGGGAGATGTGGGTGGACACTGACCAAGAGGCAGAGCTATGTCAGAGCCCAGCTCACTCCTTCTCCTTGCTTTGCTACATGTGTAGTGGGGTCCATCTGTAGTTCAAGGTCACTTACACATCAGCCTGGGTCAAAGCAACAGAACTGTGGTGGTCTCTGAAGGTGCTGAGCATTTATGGGCTTTTGAATGAATAAAAAAGAAGAGGATGCTCTGGTGTTTGCACAGAATACAGTGATACCTCTATGAGACCAGCTTCAATGCTGCAAATGATGTTACACAGGAGCAAAACATGGTCCATAGTTGTGAGTTAGAATGAGAAGAGATGTCCTGAAAGCACTTGGGCCACCATGGGAAGCAGAACACTTTCCTTATTCAAAGCAATGTAAAAAGTCCTTGGTAACTGGTTTTGGTCACAGTGGGATGTGGTGCTGAGCTCAGTCTCATCAGGTGGGAGCTGTTCATGGCCCTTTTTTAGCAAAAAGACCTGGATCTGAACAACCTCAAAAGCAATCCCAATGAAATCAACTCTTTATGGAGCTAGTGGCTTAACAAGCAGCTGCGCTGTGAGGCCAGAAGCAGCAAATCAGTGTGATTTGAACTACAATACAGTTTGCTTTGGGATTTTCCAGTTGAAAGATAGAAAGTTGTTCTTCCCAAGATGGTGTAACAGTGTAAAAGACATGTATTAGTTACCAGGCGAGGCTGTACTTCTAACTACTCTGAAAATACTTGTGGACAACCACTTTTTTTTGTCACTGACATTGAATTTTTGATACTTTAAAGTATCAAAGTGAGACTTTATATATTGCAGTATATTTTACAGTGCAAAGAGACCAAGCAGCTGTAACCTGTACACTCATTTTGATGCACACATTCCTTCTGTGTTAAAAATCCCCTTCTGTGCTGAAAAAATTGGGGCCCTTCTCACACCAAGTGCTTCACCAGGTACCTTCTCATCCCGGCTTTCTTCTGGTTTTCAATCCTTTCAGTGACACCTAGTGACATCCGTGGAAAATGCACTTCCAGTTTATAAGAATCCACATAACTGCAGTAACGTGCATTTCACAGCAAGATGCTGAAGTACTGCATCTTATTATTTCATTTATTGCCACTTGAATTGCTCTCTTTGAACAAAGATACCAGATGCATTTTGGCTGCTTGAAAACTTTGAGCCCATAGGATGGTTCAACACATTATGGATTAGAGGCACAAAATTAATTTCCTCTTTCTTCCTTTTAACTTTGGGTATGTGTTTAGAATAACAGTGTTACTGTAAATTTTGTCTTCTATTGTTGCTGCTGCTCCACTTGAAAGCTGTAAGTATCTGGGCTTCTACACAAAAAAAAACAAACCCCAAACTCTTGCAGAAGCTTAAGCTACACATTTTTAATATTTAGTATTCCTGAGCTTACTAAAAGGTCAGTCAGATTTGGTCTGATTTTCAACTGAGATGGAAAACGTATGCCTACTCTCCAGAAACTACACTAAAGACTTCAAAGGAAGAGCTTCCTCTTCAGAGTAAGCATTTGTATGCAACAGCTTTGGAATGTGTAACCTCTTCTTTCTCAAAGTACAACAACAACAACAACAAGTGGTTTCTTTCAAGGTTTACGTTGATATGGATTTCAGCTGTGCAAATGATATGGCAAACAATACAAACCAGGCTCATAAATATTTGGAAAAAAAAAAAACCCAAACCAAAATAACAAAATGGCTTCAAACAGGCCAATATTAAATGACTGGAACTAGTTTAAAAAAACCCCAAAACAATCCTAGGCCTTGCTGGATCTAAAAGGCTTCAACCTCCCACACTAAACAGCCAATTAAGTGGAAGATCTGAAGCACCAAATGGAAAAAGACCTGACACGGAGTGTCACTGGGCACACACCCATCCAAGCCTGCCCAGGTAAGAGACTCAGCATCTCCAACTGTGGTTCCAGGCCACTGGTTCAGATCTGATGTTCCATCACCTCTCTCATAGCTAACTTATCAGAATTTAGAAAGTGAAGGCTTAAAGGAAAAATTAATTCAAATACACCAAGAGCAACAGTTCAAACATTTTACTAAATCAATTCACACAATTTCAAAATTGTAAATATAATTAAGGACAACAGGGTTTCTGTATTTTTTTTTTTTCTTCCAGGTTTATCATTAAGACAATAAACAAACACAAATTAGGTTTATAGCATCTGTTCTTTTTAAAAAAAAATGAAAGGAACGCCACTCGATGTATTGATAAAGCACCACAACACAGTTACAAAATAGGGTCAGCCTGTTTCTTTCACAAGTAAAAGACTACCTACTCCTACCAGCTTTCTGCTTCAATTCATACTTCATTAAAATAAAACTATAAAATCTCCTAGATTACACTAAGTTCAGACGATGCCTGGTATACAGTGCATTAACAGCAGTAATGCCAACTATCAGTGCCAACGTAAAACAGTTTAGAAAGTAAAAACAAAACAAACAAAAAAACCACCCCCCCCTCTGAAACAAAACAAAAAAAAAGAACCCAACAAAAATCCCACCTTTATTCCCCTAGATGAGCAAAATGGAAAAGAAGGGATGCTCTGCTTCACAAGGAGTTAAGGATTTGGGGAGGACGATGGGTGGAAGAGGGGGCTGGTACTGTAGCTTTCTAGGCTTAGTTGGCATCTAGTTTGGCCATTTCCTGCACGTATATCCCTATACTCTCGCTGTCAAAGAGCACGAAGTACACAGTTTTGATTGAAGAGGACATTGTTGACACAAAATAGCTGGAGATGGCTTTCAGGATCAGCTGAGCAGCTGTTTGCTTTGGGAAGCCGTTTCTAG